AAAAAAAAAAAAAAAAAAAAATAAGGGTTGTCATGTTTTCTCTCTCTTCCTGATTCATTTATTCTGAAGGGTATGTATGTAAAGCACCTGCCTCTTTGAATATTGGGTAGCTGTTCATTCTTTTTATTATCTGGTATTTATAAATGGAGTATGCATTTGGGTAGGGGGTCAATGAGACTTGCTTGAATGGTGTATTTGGGATGATGAATATCATGAAGTTTATTGTTCCTAGATGGAACAAATACATACAGTTGCCACGTGTTCTGAGTCATGAAGTCTGGGTACCGTAGGAATGATTTATTTTCTGTACTTCAAAGTTAGGGTGTTTTAAAACTTAGATCAACATCCTAAATAGTTGCTTGTCTTATACCTGTCCTAGCCTTCGTCTTTATGACTTTCTAGTGATACAGGAATAGCACGTGTTAAAATGAAACCTGGACACTGGCTGCACTGTGAAATCCATGACAGGGAAATTGCCTTTTCATCCTTAGCTGTGTGCACAGGGCCTGGGCCACGGTAGTTACTTCACAAGTCCTTGGCAAATAAACTAATCACTAGAAAAACTCCAGGGAGGCTAGGCGCAGTGGCTCACACGTGTAATCCTAGCACTTTGGGAGGCCGAGGTGGACAGATCACCTGAAGTCAGGAGTTTGAGACCAGCCTGGCCAACATGGCGAAACCCTGTCTCTACTAAAAATACAAAAATTAGCCAGGTGTCGTGGCAGGCGCCTGTAAACCCAGCTACTCTCAAGGCTGAGGCAGGAGAATCGCTTCAACCTGGGAGGCAGTGGTTGCAGTAAGCCAAGATCGCACCACTACACTCCAGCTTGGGTGACAGAGTGGGACTCTGTCTCAAAAAAAAAAAAAAAAAGAAAAGAAAAATGCCAGGGACACCCGGAAAGAAGTTTCCAGGCAGGCCTGTGTCCTAGGGCCAGCAACAATGTGCCATCAACGCCCACACCCCCGTAATTAGGCACAGTAAAAACAAAATCTCCTGGAAATTTCTATTCAATTGATAACCAAAACATTGCCTTTATACTTAAGTAAAAGTGGCTGATCCTGCACAGGTGTTCCTTAAAACTAGAACAACAACCATTAACAATCTACTCCAACCCAGGAGGATGCCCGGCCCACAGTCCCTGCAGGGTATGGTAGAGACATGAATGTCTGCTGCCTGCTCCATTTATAGCAGATTCTAGGGAGCCCCTTGGGCAACTGAGAACTGCCAGGGTTATGGGCACCTTCCTGCCCGAGAGCTCTGTTCCATCAGGTAAGGGAATAGATATTCTTCATGATTTTTAAATCAGCAGGCTGGGCACGGTGACTCATGCCTGAAATCCCAGCTGTCTGGGAGGCCGAGTCAGGCGGATCACGAGGTCAAGAGATGGAGACCAGCCTGGCCAACATGGTGAAACCTGGTCTCTTCTAAAAACACAAAATTTAGCGGGCATGGTGGTGCATGCCTGTAATCCCAGCTACTCAGGAGGCTGTGGCAGGAGAATCACTTGAACCCGGGAGGCAGAGATTGCAATGGGCCGAGATTGTGCCACTCCAGCCTGGCAACAGAGCAAGACTCCATCTCCAAAAAAAAAAAATAAAACAAAATCAGTGTTCATTACTTTGTAAACTGTGCTATTAATCATCCTTAGTTCTCCTGGTCCACACAGTGACAAAATCTGAAAATGACTTGGTTTATTGTTTGTTTATTTTATTAATTAGTGTGTTGTGTTTGTTTGTTTGCCAGAATGTTATGGAACAGTTCAATCCTGGGCTTCGAAATTTGATAAACCTAGGGAAAAATTATGAGAAAGCCGTAAATGGTAAGTCTGTTTTTCTGAATTGATAGTAAATATTTAATTATTTTTAAATGCTTAGGATTGAAGTTTTAAATACCTCTAAATGGTAAAAATTGTTTAAATGAATTTAATCTGCAGAACTTTGCAATGACAGTACACAGTGATGTTAGCGTATTTGAAACAAGTCACTTGAATGATAGTGAGGCTACTATAAGTGATGTATTTTAATTGTCAAACCGTGCTTTCTACTTTTTAAACCAAATTCTTGGTAAACCAACAACAAATATAAAATATGTACATAAGACATTTATAAGTTAGTTCCCTACAGCACAGAAATTACTCTCTTTTTATTTATATAAAAGAATTTCTTGGCTGGGTGCGGTGGCTCACACCTGTAATCCCAGCACTTTGGGAGGCCGAGGCGGGGGGATCACCTGAGGTCAGGAGTTTGAGACCAGCCTGGCCAACATGAAGAAACCCCGTCTTTACTACAAAAACAAAATTAGCCGGTACTGGTGGCCCAGCTACTCAGGAAGCTGAGGAAGATAAGTGCTTGAACCCGGGAGGTGGAGGTTGCAGTGAGCCGAGATTACACCATTGCACTCCAGCCTGGACAACAAGAGTGAAACTCTGTCGCAAAAAAAAAAAAAAAAAAAAAAAAATCAGTGATCCCCTTAAAAACTTAAAATGCTAACAATCACCAAATTCTAACATGCTCAAGACAGGTCTCCCCCAAAATGTAGCAAGTATCACCCAAACACATTTAGACCCTAGTTTCACCCTCTGCCATGGTTCACTAAGACTACCAAGTAACATAAGTAGAAAATGTAGATTCTGGCTGGGCATGGTGGCTCATGCCTGTAATCCCAACAATTTGGGAGGCTGAGGCGTGTGAACTCCTGAGGTCGGGAGTTCGAGACCAGCCTGACCAACGTGGAGAAGTACAAAATTAGTCAGGTGTGGTGGCGCATGCCTGTAATCCCAGCTGCTCAGGAGGCTGAGGTAAGAGAATCACTTGAACCCTGGAGGCAGAGGTTGTGGTGAGCCGATATCTTACCACTGCACTCCAGCCTGCGTAACAAGAGTGAAACTCCATCTCAGGAAAAAGATAAAACAAAAGAAAATGTAGCTTCTGACAGATTTGAAGGTGGCTTCAGATCAAGTTTTACATCTTTTACTTATCTTTCTTTCCCCCCTCCCTCCCTCTAGCTTTCCCTTTCCCCCCTTCTCTTTTTCTCTCTTTCTCTCTCTTCTTTTTTTCTCTTTTCTTTCTCTTCTCTTTCCTGCTCTCTCCCTCCCTCACCCCCTCCTCCTCTGTCTCTTTCCCTCTGTCTCCCTCTCTCTTTTCTTTTTCTTTCTCTTCCTTCCTCTTTTCTTTCTTTTCTCTTTCTCTTTCTTTCCCTCCTCCCTCCCTCCATCTTCCCCCCCCTCCTCCCCTCTTCCTTCCTTCCTTCCTTCCTTCCTTCCTTTCTCTCTCTCTCTTTTTCTTTCTTTCTTTCTTTCCTTCCTTCCTTCCTTCCTTCCTTCTTTCTTTTTTCTCTTTTCTTTTCTCTTTTCTTTTCTTTCCTAAGTTCAAGCAATTCTCCTGCTCAGCCTCTTGAGTAGCTGGGATTACAGCCATGCACCACCATGCCCAGCCACTTTTTGTATTTTTAGCAGAGACGGGTTTTCACCATGTTGGCCAGGCTGCTCTGAATCTCCTGACCTCTGATAATCCACCCACCTCAGCCTCCCAAAGTTCTGGGATGACAGGCATGAGCCACCGTGTCAGGCCTCTTATTTCTCTTTTTTGCCGTATTACACCTTTGGTTGCTCCCTGTTGATATTTTGAAAATAAACCTGTGGCCTCACACATGCTCAGCATGAACCTGCCCCAGGAAGCGGGGGTGAGCTGGCCAGACTGTGGACTCTGGGTGAGCAGGCGCACCATTGTGTGTAGTCACTGGAAAAGCAAACTGCTCATTTACTGTCTTCTGCCTCCCTTTGCTTTTGGGCACTTCAGCAGCAGGAAGTGCAGCAGGTCTGAGAGTTTTCTCCCTTGCTCTCCAGGAGTCCCCGTGACTTCTGCAGGTGCCCCCGTCCTCCAGAGAGCCAGAGCTGTGCACTGCTGACTCTCCCTCGAAGATTGCTTAGTCACAAGGCCACAAAGTCATTGCTTTAGATGTCCTTGTGAAGGACATCACTGTGACCTGCAGTTTTGTTTTTTTTCCTTTCTTTCTATCATGAGCTGCCTCCCTGAGGCAGAGTTTTACAAGGTGAGTCGGTGAGGTGCCTACAGCTTAGTTTCCTGCCAACAAGCCTTCTTCCCAAAGGGCTCTCACCATTTTAGCACCTCCTGGGGAGTATTCTGCACTTCAGAAAATATTTCCAGAATTTCTGCAGGCCATCTGGTTGTGCCTCTGCTGAAGCCATTGAAAAATCTAGGTAAATGTGTAACGTCCTTGGTGAGAATTTGGAAATAGTTGAGGCAGCCAGATGTGCAGTCCCCAGTTAGGTTAGAACACCAGGCAGGCTGGGCGTGGTGGGCTCATGCCTGGAATCCCAGCACTTTGGGAGACCAAGGCAGGAGGATAGCTTCAGCCCAGGAGTTCGAGACCCCATCTCTACAAAAAAATTTAAAAAATAGCTCAGGTCAGGCGTGGTAGCTAATGTCTGTAATCTCAGCACTTTGGGAGGCCGAGGCGGGCAGATCACCTGAGGTTGGGAGTTCGATACCAGCCTGGCCAACATGGTGAAACCCTGTCTTGGCTAAAAATATTAGCCGGGCGTGGTGAAACGTGCCTATAGTCCCAGCTACTCAGGAGGCTGAGGCTTGAGAATCACTTGAAGCCAGGAGGTAGAGGCTGCAATGAGCCAAGATCGTGCCACTGCACTCCAGCCTGGGCAACAGAGCGAGACTGCCTCAAAAAAAAAAAAAAAAAAAAAAAAAAATCAGCTGGGTATGGTGGCATGCGCCTGTGGCTCTAGCTATCAGGAGGCTGAGGTGGGAGGATTACTTGAGTCCAGAAGTTCGAGGCTACAATGAGCTGTGATTGTACCACTGCACCCCAGCCTGGGGAACAGAGCAAGACCTTGTCTCAAATAAATTAAACTAAATTAAAATTTTAAAAAAAGGAACCCAGGTAAACAGGTGAATGGCTAGGAGCATTGTATAGACCAGAGTCACAATAATATGAGTGGTGTGGGTTGGTGTGGACTGGAGGCCCTGCCGGAGCTGAGCTAGCTGACAGATGCTAAGTTTCAGCAGGCACACATAAAAGACAGCAAGTAAGCCAGGATCTGGGGTCCATGCTGGCGTGGGTGGCACACCGTTGGGGAGTGGGTGGGGTAGGGTCAGATCCCTTATGCACTTGAATGCACACATCAGAGCTTGTCATATGCTGTGTCAGTCAGGCTGCACAAATCACTGCCTGCAAACCTGGTGGCTTCAGACAGCAACAGCTTCTTCTTTCTCCTGTAAGGGCAGGGCAGTTTCCAGACCCTCGGGACTCCCTCCTGCACCAGCAGTCTTCTGGGGCCTGTGAGGGGCTATGGATTGGATGCACTCTCCCCATGGGGTCTTTCCCCTTCAAGGAGGCCAGACTCGGTCCTCATTCAGTAGCGGTGGCATCCTAAGAATATAAGCCCCAGTGCCCAGCACCTCTCAAGCCCCTGCGGGAGTCATGCCTGTTGATAACCTGTGGGTCAAAGCAGGTCCCATGACCACACCACCTGGGTGGGGACCACATAGGCTGGGAATTCTGGGAGGTGTGATTCCTGGAAGGGCATTACTGTAATAATCTACCATGGGCTTACCTCGTGGACAGTGAGAGGCCACCAAAGGCTTTGAGCAGAACGTTCACCCAATGAAACCATATTTTAAGGAAAAAATATATAAGAAGCACATAGATTAGTCTAGACCTGTGAAGTATTTGGCCAACCACTAACATAGAACTAGGCCAGGTACGGTTGCAATGAGCCATGCCTGTAATGCCAGCACTTTGGGAGGCTGAGGTGTGAGGATCGCTTGAACCTAGGTGTTCAAGACCAGCCTGGGCAACATAATGAGACCCTGTTTCTAGAAAAACTAAAAAATCAGCCAGGTGTGGTGGCATGAGGGAGGATCGCTGAAGTCCAGGAGGTTGAGGCTGTGGTGAGCTATGATCCTACCACTGCACTCCAGCTTGGGCAACAGAGTGAGATCCTGACTCTTAAAATATATATATATATAACTAATATGCTTCTTTCCTTAAAACAATAAGCAGTTTTGAGATGAAGCCTTGCTCTATCACCCAGGCTGGAGTGCAGTGACACAATTTGGGTTCACTGCAACCCCCACCTCCCAGGTTCAAGCAATTCTCCCCCCTCAGCCTCCTAAGTAGCTGGGACTACAGGCACATACCACCATGCCCAGCTAAGTTTTATACTTTTAGTAGAGATGTGGTTTCACCATACTGGTCAGGCTGGTCTTA